CTCCCCAGTCTTCCATTGCATGAAAAATTCAAGATGGCGGCTAAACTTTTTACGATGTGAGCGCTCGCTCGAAAAAATCTCGCCTGCTCTGCAGGCTATGATCGTGGTCGCGCTCCGTGTTTGTGTATCGCGTTTTGTCCATTGACCCACTAATCCGCCCTTTCTGCAGGCTAGCAATCCTGAAGCAAATAATTGATCTGTGACAAACTGATAAATCACGATATTTTGCAATAATCGAGTTCAGTGATCGTCTTATCACTCCATCACCAAGTTTTTTCATATTTAAATCACCCTCTGACAGCCCAGGCAAGCGATCTGCCATTGTTCACACAAGAGCGTGGTTACAATTACGCATGGGCAAAATATAATTTACAACAACACAAATATAATTTAGGCGACATTACGCATAACGGAACCATTTTTTGTAGACAGTTATTTGCAGTTCACGTAGTGGGCTCTGGCCTAATGAAAAGAAGGAAGTAAAAAAACGCAATGAATGATAATCTTATTTATTTCTTTCTCATTACAACACTACATTATTGCATCTGTCTATGACTGAATTTTCCTAAACCTGCTTATAGAACCTCGTTTAATGATCAATTAATCAATCAATCAATCAATCAATCAGTCAAGCATTATTCTGTCGGCTCAGTTTAATGACCACACCATGATGTTTTTGAAACGGTTTTCAACGCGCGAAGACTTCAACCCTCATGCAGGGGAAGTTATAACGCGTCACAGGGTAGAATCGAACGTATCTTGCTTGCACGTCATGCTTCAGGGAGTGATGCACAATGGTGTTCAAATCTGAATTGGCGGCAAAAATCTGTGAAAAGAAGAAGAAAAATATATATCTTAAATTTTTATCAAAATTAAAGATTGCGGTTATGAATCGCCTTCCGGACAGGATTGGTTTGGTGCTTCCGGGATTATAAGGCAATGAGTCAGCTATCAGTTATGACAATTTTAATTTCCCTTCACATACTAAGTAATTAGATTAGATTTCCCAGGAAAGTATTTATTTATTTATTTATTAATTAATTAATTAATTAATTTATTTATTACTGTTAATCGCCTGGGTTAGACTGGGTTCAGTAAGTGATCCTGACTGCATTTAAGTCTCTTCCAGGTGTTCACAACTAATTGAACCCCTGGAGGAGACTATAACTGCACAAGACGCGTGTTAAACGTTGTTAAAAAGCTTTTGAAATAGCAGCCTTAGAGACCAAATGGTGAAGGGACCCGATGAGGAACCCGTTCCTGGCTTGTGCATATTTTCACTCACAGATTGCTATGGAATTCCATTCTGAAGTTAACAACTAAACAGTCACATAGCGCTTTTACAACGGTTTAAAAACTTGATATCAATCATGGACAGATTTTTTCAATAATAAATAACTATCCTACTCGACCTAGTATAGCCAGATCGTCTGATTTTAGCCGGCCATTGATTGGCGGGACCATTAAATATCCAGGCAGGATATTTAAGGATCATTATATATTTCAGTCATTATCTCCTTTTCCTCATACAAGAAGCCATGAGTATGCATTTCTAGAATCCGCTACAGAGTCTTCACTAATCATTAACAACTGCTTTTTGTGATTGTAAAAATCCGAAATAGATTTCCGGGTTATCAGATTAGCAGATGAGTTCTTTGTTTGGGTCTAATATTTTTGTTTATTTGGCCTTCACCTCCCGGGTTATGCGTGCGTCCACATTTTTGTTTTTAGAAATATTATAAGATAGTTTAAACGAATAGATTTATGCCGCTTTCTCTATCACTAATAACTAACATTAAGAATAGGATAAATAATACGTATTGTAAAGGAAAATGAGAAGATAAGCCGACACACTAGCTATAGTTCTAAAATTGTAAAGATTTGTTCCATACCTTGTCCGTGTTATTTTCCTGGTATGTAGTGAAGGTGACACCATTAGTAGAGAACTTCAGCTTGTAGCTTGTCACCCATGATCCATTCTTTTTTCCTTGGGTCGACACAGCACACACATGGCGCAACCTTTTCATGTCGATTTGGAGGTAGTCAGAGTATGTGATATGCTGATATCTCTGACACCATCCTAATGGTCCATTGAGGCGGCCTTTATATGCGTAGTACTGCAGATACACGGAGCTGGCGGTCATCTGACTGTTAGATACGTAGTTCTTATCTGCTGCTACTCCAATCGCTGTGCAGTTACCTGGACAAACACAAAGACCAGCACAGTTCTGTCACCAATTATTCAGTCCACGAGGGAGCCTCTTGCAAGGACAACAAAATAATTAGCAGTAGAAAAGTTTCTTATTTTTGCTTTCAATGGAAAATTGAAAATTAATTTGAAAAGGCATAGCTTAATCATTGTATAGAATTGTTTATTATATCGGCTTTCGTATCTCCCCAACATACATACATGCATACATAAATACATAAACTTTATTTTTTCTCGAATTTAAGAGTAGCTATTATACAAGCTAATTTTTCCTAGAGAAAAAGGGAAAAATGGAAGGTAGCAAGTCTTTTCCAGGCTCTGGTGGAGCCTCTGTTATGAGCATTTTTTAAAATTTCCGAATCTTACCCTTTTACGCACAAGTTTTAACAGAAGAGGTAACTTTGCATCTATCTTCTAAAAAGACTTAAAGAAGCTACGTCACTGTTTGCGCATCAAAAGTTTAGCCTAAATTTTTCAAGTTCGTCGTTTGCAATCCGTGTTAGTCTTCTCCGTCCTTAACCATCCTGGTTCCTTTATGGATTATTATTATTATTATTATTATTATTATTATTATTATCTCATTGGTGTTTTTCTATCTCAGTAAACTGCTATTTTCAGGTTTCCCACAATTCAAAGGTAATTTTGTAGTTAGCCAAAATACCGTTATTATTCTCCATCTCAGAAAAACATGCCACTGACACACAATTCAGATCAGCTGGCATTTTTCAACAACACAGTGAATTTCGTCAATCAGTCAAAAAACATTATTTTAATAGATTACTCCACCGAAGGTATCAGTAGAAAATAGGGGAAAGGTCTAACTTTTCAGCTATCGCTTATTTAAACTATATTTATATTCTCTGTAAATTAACCTACTGATGTTAGTTACCATCTTTTGGAAATGAAATGCTCGTCGTTACAAAGAGACTTTGAATTTGGTAAAAGAGGGTCTTTAAAAGCTTTAAACTTGATTGTAACCAACAGTCAGAAAGCTGGTTACAGAACAGTGCCGTGTTCAAGCCCGATGAAACTAACCCAGTATTAGAGAGAAATTGATCTCAGTTTGTTTTTTTTTTTCTTGTTCGCCCTTCAGTTTTGAGTTTGAATAATCTCAAACTTCACGAGATATCTCCAGTGAAAAACCGTGATTACAAAGTAAAATTAATACTTTGGGTAGCTTTTAATCCTGGACTGGCGTAAACCGGCCTTCGAAAAACCCGGCCCAGAGAAGGCTTTTTAATTACTTTATGATAAATTATATGGGTTTTTCCTTAAATTACCTTTTGGAGGGACCTTGTCTGTAATCTGTTCGACTAAAGCCGTGAGGTTTTTAATCATTGAGCACACTGAAACGAAATTTAAGCAAAAACAGTTAATTTTGGTTTGTTTGCAGACATGTTTACTCAGTGGTTTGCTTACGTTTGCAGTCGAGGTCTAATTCGCATAAGGCGTCTTCTAGTTTCTTCACTCTGGCTTCCAGTCTCCTATATTTGCAGTCTCCATAACATCTCTTCGCCAGCATAGAGTTGACATCTTCCATTAGCATAAAGAGCACCAGACCTACCACAAGGGCAATCCTCAATCGAATGGCCATTTCTGTTGGATAGCAATGAATTAAAAAAACTCGATTATTAGATAATGCAATTCTAGAGTTTTCGTTGTTTTTTGCGCGTTGTTATTCCTGTTTTATTCAGGGGTTACTATATTTTGGCGACGTTTTAATAAAACAAATTTTCCTTGGATATGAGATGGTTATAGCTAATGAGGCACGTAGTGCCTTGGTTACTATCTACCATCTCATATCCAACGCGCACTCGTGGAAGAATTGCTAAATATATATCAGTACTCGTGATTTTTCGTTTCCTTCCAGCGATAAAAAGGTATATATGATGGATAGAATATAAAGATATTGCAAGACACTTTTTGGGGGACAAATTGCTTTCGAGGTTTGTCGTTTGTTGAGCTTTGAAGGCACTTTGATCAGTTTAGAAACGAAAGTTAACGAAAGTTTTTTCTGACCTTTCTTTTGGCTGTTTACAACTTGCCTGTGATACAGGACAGGTTTAGAGTCCATTCGAATAATTCGATCCTTAAATTGCTTGAATTCGAATTCGATTTTGTGACTATGGTGACACGGCAAACGCATTCTCTCTGCTTCTCTTCCTTACGTTCAGAATCTCTTACGGATTTCGCGCTTCTTAAGGTCTCAGTTGAGATTTTACTGTAACATTCCATGATTGTATTTGGTTAATTTCTGATGACTGGTACGTAAATGAGATGTTTGCTGAAAGGAAGGGTTAACGTTACCATACAATGTCTTGGTTGTATATGCACAGTGAGTCAGTCGTTCTTCTGAAGCTCTCATGAATTACGGCTTATCATAACACCCTTGTTTTAATTCATTGGTTTTAGTTGTTGGAATTGAAGTATTTTATAAGTTGATTGTTCCAGAAAAGGTGGAATTAATATATTGATATTCAGAAAAATACATTTCAGCAGCAGTTAATAGTCGAGTTTTGGAGAGCTTTTGATGGTAAATGAATGAACATGATTGATCAATCACCTTTCGGCCGAGTGTTTTTCCTACATTATTTTGCCGAATTTTTTGAACAGACAGAAAAATATTGTACAGCAAAAATCTAAATTACTTACCTGAGTCTCAGAGGTAAAGAGCAAAAACCAAAAGCTGAACTGTAGAGGATAACAGAAAATTAACGTCAGTTGGAGTACACGTTAAGGCAGGTGATGAATCAACTTCTCCCGTACTCACCTCTCACCTTCGATCCGAGACAGGAATGATCCTCTGCTCGAAAAACTATTAGTATTACTCGGTAGAATTGTTTGTTTAGTTGTGAACCTGTCCAATAGAATAAAGGCAGCCACTCTTCCACTATAATTTGTTAATCACCTTTTGTTTAATTGCCAAGTTTACTCAGGGATAATTACGCCAAGGTCCCTGAGTGCGATTCCGTACGTCTGAATCAACAAAATGGAAAGTGTAGTCTTCGCAACTAATATATAATATTCTAGATTGAAATTTTACACTTATATTCAATGCTTATTCAGCACACAGCAATGCTTGGCTCAAACAAGCTGTAAGAACATTTTACTCTTCTGAGGAAGAGACTCGTTCTTCAGGTTATCATATAAGTTCGATTTTCCCTCTTTAATAAACTAGTGTGCATGGACGCGCAAAGATTCACTGATGTGCATAAACAAAGTGTAGGAGGTGATGATTTGCAGCTGAACTCACCTGCAGAATAAGAGAAGTTGAGAGATGACATTTCATTCCCTAAATTTGCGACTTAATCAACAGACTAATATTGTTAATGATAAAAATGAATTGTAGTTTACTAAGCAAGGAGACATAGTTAAGGCGTAGAGCGATAATCACGTTATATAACGAGCAAAAAAACACAAGTTTCCTTGGAAGGAAAGTAATATTTTATTTGGGAATTGGTCTTTGAGTGAAACATAGAAACATAGAAAAAAGACGATAAAATAAACAAAACTTCCTTTTTGATTTGTAGATGACGTAGATTCAGGTGTATAAGCAAATCTACTCCTTTTAACAGAATCATGATCGTTAAAAGCAATCTTAAACAGATCAAATTTATTTAAGGTTAATAAATACAGGTGCCATGTTCTCGAAGTTGCCAAAAAAGGATTGAGCAGTTATATTAGTTACGACAATAGCTAGTATGAATGTTTTCTAAACCAATCTTCGTTAAGATACCGTTGTATTAATAAAACTTTTAACATAATGTGAAATTTTGTCATTGGTAAACGACTCTTACACAGTTCAAAAATACGTTTTTAGAATTGTGAGATTCATGGAATACATATTGAAGTGTAATTAACATTAACAAGCTTTTGCTGTCCACTTTCAGTCCGCTATTTGAAACCCCTGGTCCACATTCCTCAGGTATTACCGGGACAACGCAGGGACCTCCGTTCATATGCACTCCGGCCTTTTCCCGCAGCGGGGAGTAGGCGGGTAATTCGCTCTCTTGTGGTCAGGGTTCATTTTCGCACCGCATAGTACCTTAAGCATATGTTGCAATAGCTCCAGCATTAAGCGAAGTGATGCAACTAGATGCCAACTAGATAACTCAACTCTCGTTCCGTAGATCCAAAAAGGCTGTAAGTTGCTAGTAAAAAGATTCGACGAGTCGGATCATGTAAGTACCATGTAAGAGACATACAGAGGCGGGGAGAGGTAAGGGGGGGGGGGGGGGTTGTTAACCACTCACTTTTGCCTTGGGGGACGGATCGACTTCACTAACTTCACTTGCATAAAACGTGAATGCCGAGTTAAGCCCGAGGAAGGGGGTTTGCACAAGTAACGTGCGATCACGCGTTCTTTTTTCTCTGCGAAACAAAAGAACGCTTGATCGCAGGTTAGTGCATAAGTCACGTAGATAGTTTCTCCTTGCCACCTTGGCTCCTCAGCTGCTTCACAAGATCATCAATGTTTGAGTTTTAAGTGACTGATGTGATGTTTGTCACATCAAACCAATTAGACTCTAAGTGATCCTTTATCAGTTGCGTTTGCTATTGCTTGCCTGAGTTTGTTAAAAGAGCACGGCTGATACTTACACTGTTTATCTTCCCAGCTTCATAACTGGATCATGAATGTTTGCTTTCTCTGATGTGCGCCAATAACGTAAATTAACTCTGAAGTGGTCTTTATCTGTGCTGTTTTGTTAGCTATTATCTTCATTCTTGACACAACCTGACCGAGACAGTTGTGGAAAATGCAAAATCCTCTATAACTCTGGGTATCAAATTAACAAGAACGGCTTTGGATAAAAACTTTGGCGGGCTAATAATAGTTTCTAGCGTTTTTGAGCAATTCTTCTTTTTTATGGATCAATGCTTTCTTTGTTAAATTTTTGAAAATTCAAGGTGGTGCTGAATACGCTTCCGCTTTTTTTTTTAACTTGGGAAAAAGTTGAATCTTGAGTTATAAGCCCATAAAGCTGAAGTTAGGGATGCTTTCTTCATTAACTTATACCATTGCAACTGTGTAACTATGGTACGTAATGTTAGGGAAATCGTTAGATCTTGTTCACCAATGATTGAGCGATGTTCGATGTAATTATTGTAGTGTCAACTGAAAAAGATAGGTAGTATTAATCTATCAAAGTAGAAGTGCTGAAATATGTTGAAAACCTGTGTTTGAGTCACCTTTATCGTATTTCTCGTCCAAGCAAGTTAAATTTAATTATGAAGCAGCCATAGTTTTTAATTTTCTGCCCAATTGTCTCATGGTTTGCTTAGTCGTGGCTTTGCGATATTCGTTTATATTTTTTCGTTTTAAAGAAAAACATTCTTTGGAATAAGTCTTTTTTTTTTATGAGAGACCTGTGTATGCAAATCTTGATTGCCTGAATAACTAATTCAAATATATCCATTTAATGACGTGTTTTATAGCAAGGCTTTAATTGTATACTATAAGTTGCGTCTTTGGTGATCATATCAACTCAAATAGACCCTAAGTAGTCCTTAAGCTTCTGTTTATCATCCACTCGTGAACATGTTAAATTTGTCTTCTGTGCTTTGTTTAGAGGGTGTCAATGGGGTTCACGGTCAACAGTCAAATGGCCAAATCATGAGTGGACTGGATCATGAATGTTTGCTTTCTGTGATGTACGTCAGTCACTGCAAATATACTCTTAAGTGATCTTTATCTTCTTTGCTATTTTATTAGCTATTATCGTTCATTCTTGACATAACCTGACCGAAACAGCTGTGGAAAATACAAAATCCTCTACAACTCTGGGTATCAAATTAGCAAGAACGGCTTTGGATGAAAACTTTGGCGGGCTAATAAAAGTTTTAATAGTAATAGCAATCCTTCTTTTTTGTAAATAAATGCTTTCTTTTGTTTTTAGTTGATGCATTTTTTTGTCAAATTTTCGAAAATTCAAGGTGGTTCCGAATCCACTTCCACAATTTTTTTTAACTTGGCAAAACGTTGAATCTTGACAGGTTGATTACAATTCGACGTTAAAAAATGAGCCACGTACTCGTTTTTGAGTTTTTAGCCCATAAAGCTAAAATTAAGGATGCTTTCATCATCAACTTGTATACACCATTGCAATTGCACTTTGTAATGTTAAGAAAATAACTAGATCTTGTTCACCAATTATTGAGCGCTGTTCGATGTCATTATTGTAGTGTCAACTGAAAAAGAAAGGTAGTATTAATCTATCAAAGTAGTATTAATCAGTTGGCTCATGGTTTGTTTTGTCATAGCTTTTCCCGGTGGCTGATAAAATTTAAAAAATTGAATTGAAATTGAGGATGTAGTCTTTAATTCTTGTTTTTTTTTGCCCCGCTAAAGGTTTTCTCCCTCAAAACGATAATTTAACAGTGTCGGGAAAATTGTCTATAATATATTGGGAAAAATGCAAAGCAACTTCAATATAGATTTCGGCGATATTCGTTTTTATTTTTTCGTTTTAAAGAAAAACATTCCTTGGAATAAGTCTTTTTTTATGGGAGACCTGGGTATCTATTTCTTGATTGCCTAAATAACTAATTTAAATATCTCTATTTGATGACTTGTTTCACAACAGGGCTTTGTTCGTATACTATATGTTAAGTTTTTGGTGATCATACCAACTCAAATAAACTCTGAGTGGTCATATCATCCACTAGTGAACATGTTAAGTTTGTCTTCTGCGCTTTGTTTAGAGGGTGTCAATGGGGTTAATTGTCAACCGTCAAATGGTCAAAAAATTGACGGCAACCGTCAAAAACGCAATATTTTTACTGCCAACCGCCAAATGAGCAAATTATTGTTAACCGTCAAAAATAGACCAATTTCGATATATCAAATTCAGCCTAAAACAATAGACCTCAACACGAGGCTCCGGGGAATAAACCCCACAAACTCTGTATTTATTCCCATGAGCCTCGTGCTGAGGTCTATTGTTTTAAACTGAATTTTAATATATCGAAATTGGTCTATTAAGAACAAAACGATTGACTTACATGGGGTCAATTGCAAGTTATGATGTTTGTGAATGATCGTTTTAATATATCACAAAAATACATTTATGCCGCAAGCCCTTTACATTCTAGTCTCGATCGGCAGCGGGCGATAATACGTCTAGCGGTAGCAAAGGCGGGTGTAATTACGCGAATTAGAGACAGTTTAAGACTGGAGACCTGAATTTTAATGCACAAATTTTAGGACTAATTGGATTAGGCAAATATAAGCAAAATTGTGTCCTTCTAAAAAAGTTACAGCCAACTTTGCCCTTTATTAATTTCGTGCTATAAACGTCATTCCGTAAAATTGACCCGCGTCAACGGTCAAAACGGCTTATTTTAAGTCAACCGTCAAACCCCCATCATTGGCACAATGAGTTTAGTACTTACCGAATTTGTTGAATAGATCACAAATAAAGAATAATAAAAGAAAAACTTCCATCAACAGTCTATCAAGCTACATCTTGTATGTAAAGATCTACATTCATTGCCAACGAGACAGGCGAGCGAAAGCGCGAGCCTGTCGAGGCGGCAGGATATAGAGCCGTGCTTAGTTTGATGGCTATGCAGAAAAAATCTCAGATCTTTCAGCTCGATTTTCGTGTAATCCGGTTCCGTCAGTGATATTTTTTTGGCCATATTAGGATGTAGCCGGATATTGTCGATATATCGCACGAACCAATCAAAACACTATTTTTCTTTGTGACGTTACGAGGCTTCGATATTTGTTTAGCGTACGGAACTATTTTGCGTGCCATTCTGTTTTCTGAGGCGTATACATCTTGGATTTGTTGTGATTGA